TAGAGTGAAAAAAGGATATTTCATAATGACAAAGGGTCAATTCGTTAAAAATACATAAGCATCTTAAATGTGTATGCACCTCACAACAAAGCTTCAAAATATGTATAGCAAAAATTGACAGAACCAAAGGGAGAAAGAAACAAATGCACAATTATGTTTGGATATAGTAACACCTCTTTCTTACTAACTGATAGCATTCATAGATAAAAAAAAAATCAGTAAGGATATAAAAGATTTGAACGTCACTGTCAACCAACTTGACCTAATTGACTTTTATGTAATAATACACTTAACTACAGAATAGCAAAATACCAAAATGGCAAAATAAGTCCTTCCTTATCAGTAGTCACCTTAAATGTAAAAGTATTACATTTACCGATTAAATACAGAGACTGACAGAATGGATAAAACCTCCCAAAACCCATGATCCAATTATGTGCTGTCTGCAAGAGACACTTTTTATATCCAAAGACACACAGATTGAGAGTAAAAAGATAGAAAAAGACTTTCCGTGCAAATAGTACTAATATCATACAAAATAGACTTTAAGTTAAAACAAGTGACGTAGAAGTTCATTATATGTTAATAAATGGTCAATTCCTCAAGAAGTTATAATAATTAGAAACACATATGCACAAAACAATTGAGCCCCAAAATATGTGCAGCAAACTGACAGAATTGAAGGGATGAATAGACTTCTACAATAATAGTCGGAGACTTCACACCATCATCATAGCTATTATTTGTTGAGCACTTACTATTTGCCAAAACTATTCTAGGCATTTTACATATATGAAGTCATTTAATTCACAAAAACTCTTGTGGCAGGTTCCATTACTATCCTCATTTTACAAAAGAGGAAACCATGGCGTAGAAAAGTTAAATGACATGCCAAAGTAACCAAGATGTACATGGCAGAACCTGGATGATAGACTCAGTAAATTAGATTTGGTCCTTAGAGATTTCCTATTCAAATCTCCCACTGAAGGAAGGGGTTTCTTTCTCTGACATTCCGGGTTCTGTGGTCTCTGCAGGAGCACTGTGGATAAGTATCACTGCTTCAAAGAGTAGAGCATTCTAGTATGAGCTATCCTAATTGCTAGAAAGTTTTTCCCTATGTTGAGTTGAAGGCTTTTAACTTTGATTCACTGTTGTTTGTAATAACAGAAAATAAGCCCATCCTTCTGACAGCTATTGAGATATGTGAAGATTGTCATGGTATCATTCAGTGTCACCCCCATCACCATTTAGAAACTTTAATACCATGCTTTCAATGACAAAGCATTTAGACAGCAGATTAATAAGGAAACAGAAGACTTGAACAACACCATAAACCAACTAGACCCAACACAGATGTATAGAACACTCCACCCAAGAACAGCTGAATACACATTCTTCTCAAGTGCACATGGAACATTCTCCAGGATAGACCTTATGTTAGGAGACAAAACAAGTTTCAAAAAATTTCAAAAGACTGAAATCATATAAAGTATCTTCTCTGACCAAATAGAATGAAGCCAGAAATAAAAAAAAAAGAAGGAAAACTGGAAAATTTACAAATATGTGAAAATTAAACAACATTCTCTTAAACAACCAATAAGTGAAAGAAGAAATAATAAAGGATATTAGAAAATACTTTAAGATGAATGGAAATGAAAACACAACATATCAAAACTTATGGAATGAACTGAAAGCAGTGATCAGAGGGAAATTTATAGTTGTAAATATCTACATTAAAAAGAAGAAAGAGGCCGGCCCCGTGGCTTGGTGGTTAAGTGCACGCACTCCGATGCTGGTGGCCCGGGTTCGGATCCCGGGTGCGCACCGAGGCACCACTTCTCCGTCCATCCTGAGGCCGAGTCCCACATACAGCAACTAGAAGGATGTGCAGCTATGACATACAACTATCTACTGGGGCTTTGGGGGGAAAAAAAAATAAATAAAAATCTAAAAAAAAAAAAAAAGAAGAAAGATCTCATGTCAATAACCTAATTTTACACTTCAAGGAACTAGAGAAAGGTTAATTGAATAATTTAGCTAGTTCATCTAACACAGTGCTTACTGGAGCTTGGACTGCAGTAGGCACTTAATAAATGTTAGTATCTCACAAACCACTAAAACTAATCATTGGAATACTTTAAAAATGAATGTAGGGTACTATTTACAGCACTGTTTCCCCTTCTGCAGTTTGCTTTGGTGGATTGTGGTATATATATTTTTAAATCGAGATATTACACATATACTGTAAATTTCACCCATTTAAAATGTACAATCCAGTGTGTTTTAGTATATTCACCAAGTTGTGTCTTCATCACAACTGTCTAATTCAAGAACATTTTCATAACTCCAAAAAGAAACCCCGTACTCATCAGCAGTCACTTCCTGATCTTAGGCAACCACTAATCTATATTGTCTCCATGGATTTGCCTTTTCTGGTTATTTAATGTAAATGGAATCATAGAATATGTGGCTTTTTGTATGTATCTTTTCAGTAGCATAATGTATTCAAGGCTCATTCCTGTTGTAATATGTATCAGTACTTCATTTCTTTTTATTGCTGAATAATTTTCCTTTGTGTGGATATACCACATTTTGTTTATCCATTCATCAGCTGATGGACATTTGAATTGTTCTCACTTTTTGGCTATTATGAATAATGCTGCTGTGAACGTTGATGTATAAGTTTTGGTGAGGACATGTTTTCATTTCTCTTAGGTAGTTACCTATGATTGGAATTGCTGGTTAATGTGATAACTCAATGTTTAACCTTTGAGGAACTGCCAGACTATTTTCCAAAGTGACTGCACCATTTTATGTTCCTGCCAGCAGTGTATGAGTTTTCCAATTTCTCCACATTCTTGCCATTATTTGTTATTATCTGTCTGTTTGATTTTAGCCATCCTTGTGGCTGTGAAGTATCTCATTATGTTTTTATTTTTGATTTGCATTTCCCTAGTGACTAATGATGTTGAACTTCTTTTTATGTGCTTATTGGCCATTTGCATATCTTCTTTGCAGAATTGTCTATTCAAATCCCATGCCCTTTTTTTGTTGTTGTTGTGGAAGATTAGCCCTGAGCTAACATCTGTTGCCAGTACTCCTGTTTTTGCTGAGGAAGATTGGCCCTGGGCTAACATCTGTGCCCATCTTCCTCTACTTTATATGTGGGATGCCTGCCACAGCATGGCTTGATAAGTGGTGTGTAGGTCTGCACCCAGGATCCGAACCTTTGAACCCTGAGTTGCCGAAGCGGAGTGTGCGAACTACACCACTGGGCCAGCCCTCCATGCCCATTTTTTAACTGGTTTATTTACCTTTTTATTGTTGAATTGTGAGAGTTGTTTATATGTTCTGGATACAACTCCCTTATCAGATACGTGATTTGCAAATATGTTCTTCTATTTTGTGGGTTTTCTTTTCACTTTCTTAATGATGCCCTTTGAAGCGCAAAGGTTTTTAATTTTGATGAAGTCTAATTTATTTATTTTATTCTTTGCTTGCTTGTAATTTTGGTGTCATATCTAAGAAACCATTACATAATCTGAGGCCACCAAGATTTATGCTTATGTTTTCTTTTAAGAGTTATAGTTTTAACTCTTATATTTATTTAGGTCTTTGATCCACTTTGAGTTAAATTTTTTTATATGATATGAGGTAGGGGTCCAGCTTTATTGTTTTGCGTGTTAACATCCACTTATACTGGCACCATTTGTTGAAAGGACTATTCTTTCCCCCATTGAATTATCTTGGCACCCTTGTCAAAAATTAGTTGCTGATAAATATAACGGTTTATTTCTGGACTCTCAATTCTACTTCATTGATCTATGTGTCCGTCCTTATGCCAATACCACAATGTTTCAATTGCCGTAGCTTTATAGTAAGTTTTGAAATCAGGAAATTTGAGTCCTCCAATTTTGTTTTCTTTTACAAGATTATTTTGAGCCAGCCCTGATGGCCTACTGGTTAAAGTTCAGCATGCTCTGCTTTGGTGGCCCGGGTTAGGTTTCCAGGTGCAGAACCACACTGCTCATCTGTCAGTAGCTATGCTGTGGTGGTCGCTCACATGGAAGGACTAGAAGGTCCTACAACTAGGATATACAACTATGTACTGGGGCTTTGGGGAGGGGAAGAAAAAGAAGAGAGGAAGATTGGCAACAGATGTTAGCTCAGGGGGAATCTTTCCCAGCAAAAAAAAGATTATTTTGGCTATTCTGGGTCCCTTGTATTTCCATATGAATTTTGGGATCGGCTTTTCAATTTTTCCAAAAAAATGCGGTTGGAATTTTGGTAGAGATTTCATTAAATCTGTGGAAGAGTTTGAGAAATGTTGCTAACTTAACACTATTAAATCTTCCAACTCATAAACATGGAATGTGTTTCAATTTATTTAAGTCACCTTTAATTTCTCTCAGCAGTGTTTTGTATGTTTTCAATATATGTGTCTTGCACTTCCTTAGTTAAATTTGTTCCTAAGAATTTTATTCTTTTTGATGCTCCCGTGAATGAGATTGTTTTCTTAGTTTCATTTTCAGGTTGTTCATTGCTAATGTATGGAAATACAATTTATTTTTATATAAATATATTGCATATTTGTATATTGTATCCTGCAACCTTGCTGAACTCCTTGATTAGTTCTAATAGAGTTTTTGTGGGTTTCTTAGAATTTTCTATATACAAGATCATGGCATCTGTAACTAGTGGTTGTTTTACTACTTCCTTTCCAATCAGGATGCCTTTTATTTATTTTTCTTGCCTAGTAGCCTTGGCCAGAATCTCCAATACCATGTAGTATGGAAATGGCTGTGTTGCCATTTTTATGAAACGGTGATAGGATATAAACTGTTTTTATATCCATCAATGTTGAAGTGCGGTGGCTTCATGAAATTAGTATCATATTTGTAGGACAGTGATTGGGGCTGTTCTGATCTAAAAAACACGTAACTTTTTTTTTTTTAATTGATTGAGGAACACTTTCACAGTTTCCCTTTTTTTCCTTTTAGGTTTTCTCAAATAATGATGAAGGTCTTATTAACAAAAAGCTACCCAAAGAACTTCTCTTAAGGTAAGTGTTGATAAACTTTAAATAATTCAAATTTGATTCAGTCATCAAGTTCCAAGACAGTCTTCTTTCACTCTATGAGTCCATAGCATAGAAAAACAGACAGAATTAGCCTAACTGACTTTTTGTTTTTGTTTTATAGAATGCTGTTCAGCTTGTTGTTAAATTTTACTTGGTCTAATCCAGAATGTACTAAGTATGTACATAGCATTGGTCTGGATTCTTTTTGTAATGTGGTAAGTATTGTAATAATCTTCAGTAGGTGCCATTGTTTTGGTATCAGTAGATAATCTCAATGTAGTCAATAACATCAGGAGAGAGTATTGTTAAGATTGTGAGCTCCTGAAGTCATAGACATTTAGATGTTTTCTGATAAATCAGTTTTAAAGTAAGTACAGTTGTATGTTCTTACTGAGCACTTAAAATGCTGTCAGCCCAAATATTGATGTTTTTATCCATTTATGAGAATTATGTGCTAAGTGACAGTGAGTACTATAAAACAAGCTTCTTTGTCCTTTATTTCTGGCATCACTGAATATATAGTAAATGGTATTTTGCTTGTCATTTCGCAAGTAAAGCTATCAACCAACATTTGTTGACCCTGAGGCACAGTAGTTTTCTTTAGTACTCTGCAATCATCAAAGAAATCCTATTTTAGTTTTGGATATTTTAATTGTTTACAAATAATTAATACATGTATATATGGTAATCTTTGAATGGCATTTCCCGAACTCTTCTCGTATCACTGATGTTCCACAAAACAAAACAGGTTTTGTGATCAAAGAAGTATGGGAGGGGGCCAGCCCGGTGGGGCAAGCCGTTAAGTGCGCGCACTCCGCAGCAGCAGCCTGGGGTTCGCCGGTTCAGATCCCGGGCGCACACCGAGGCACTACTTGTCAGACCATGCTGTGGTGGTGTCCCATATAAAGCGGAGGAAGATGAGCATGGGTGTTAGCCCAGGGCCAGTCTTCCTCAGAAAAAAGAGGAGGATTGGCAGATGTTAGCTCAGGGCCGATCTTCCTCACAAAAAAAAAAAAGAAGTAGTATAGGAAACACTGGGTTAACAAAACCAGTTTCTTTGCTACGTGACTTCCTAGAGCCTTAATAGGCTAATATGCATGGTGATGCTCCCAGATGGATAGTTGTGGCATTTCAAACTTATTGAGCATGGAATCCTTTTAATATTCCATGGAAAAAATTTTGGGAAGTGCTAACATACGTTAAGAGATTGACCAGCTGACTCCATTCCTTGGCGGTGCTTAATTTCATTTTAACATTTGGGAAATGAGGATGAGTTTTGTTTACATATGGGAGTTCACTACAAAGTTACTGTGTAAATGCCACAGATTACTCTCCTTGACCGTCCTCATTATGTTAGACATTTTTTCTTGAGTCAGAAATGGGGCGAGGACACAGCTTTGTGGTGGTGATCACATTTCAGGGGCATTTAGAGGGTGTTTCATTAGTCATCAGGTGTTGTTTGACACTGTTGTCATGAGCTCATTCTACTCAGTTAATAAAAAGGAAAATTAACGACAGGATCATATGAAAAATACAGCAATTATATTTTATTTCAATAAAGCAAATATTTGTCTGGATAAGAGAGAGTATTCTTTGGCATTTTAGACCATTTTAAAGTTAAGAAAGTGGTAACAAGGAAGGAATGATACAAACCCACAAGGTCTTGATCAAGCACAGTAAGCTGTTAGAACCAATATTGCTGGGCTAGGGTGGGCAGGCTGTTACCATACAACTGTAGGGGATGCCATCCACAACACACTACAAAGTGGATGGTGTACCTTAGAATTGTGCAGTGTTTCATTCTTGGTCTGAACGGTTTTATAGCACAGACATCAAGTTGTAATGTGAATATGTCATTCTTACTCTGGAGAATCATAACCAGCTTCAGGCAGACTCGTATTAGTCATTTAGCAGTGGAGTGTGATTAAATGCTACCCTTCTTATGAATACTGCTGCTATCTGTGACTAAAGGCTGCTAACTTAATATTTTTTCCCTTTTGGTAGGGTTAGCTTTTACACTGTACTCAGCCATGGAACAGTTTCTATCAGTTGACAAAAACAGGGAGGGGGGAATTATATCACTTTATATGCTAGTGTGATTTCTAAACTGCTGATTTAGAAATTTTAGTTCTTTTAAAGATCCATGTTGGACCCAGCTGTTAAGAATCCTGGAGTTACTGTTTTTGAATCACGCCATAAGGCTCATACATAGATTGTTTTTCAAAAAGAATTGCCGTTTGAGAGCAAATGTTCATAACATGTCTGTTCATAGATATGCATTCGCACTTCTGTTCTTATTTTGGAGTCTGTAAGGAGAATTTAAATTTTAAAGTACTTCTACTACAGGTCTTCTCTGACTTGCGAGTCTCAAAATTAACTCTTGTCAACCATGATATTTTAATTGTTGTTGGTCTTTAAATCATTTTTGCCATCTTACTCTCAGACTTTCTATTCTCAGTAATAATAGCTCTCCCCTTTTCTAGTCTCCCTTTCTAAGCAAAATTTTGAAGAAGGGTTTGAGCCAGGTTACCAAAGCAGCCATCTTCATCATCAGTTAATTCCACAGCAAAGTGAGTGAGTGTAGCAAAGTCTCCGCCTCCTGGAGCTTAAGTGTTGATTATTTTTGCTCAGTTAAATGATGTCTTCATACTTGCAATCTGTCCTAGGCTTACATTTTTACTTCATATTGTAGACTTCTTTGTGACAGTGCAAACTGTCGTTCCTATTCTTGTTGAATTCCTGTTCACTGTCGGTCTTACTTCATCAATAGATAGGAAATCTTTGAGTTTATGGCAATCTTATTCGCTTGCAGCTGAGGTCATTTTCTCTTCTGCCATTTTTACCTGCGGCTGTTACCACCCTCTTCAGTTCTCTACTAGCTTCCATTAGTGATCACGCCAAGTGAAGACTCAGCTTCTCCTTTGGAACTGCTAACAAGCATAACCTGGAATTGTGTGCTTCTTTCATCTCTCTATATTGCTTTGAATTCACTCAGAAAGATCTGTGAGATTTTTTCCATGTGGTCATCTTATTGCTGGTTTTAAGACTACCCGATATTAATTCACAGATTCCTTCTACTACTCAATTTCAGTTTGTTACTTAATAAGTTTTTACAATTTTGCTTTTTATGCTCAGCTTTCACTCATAAATTAAAGGTACTCAAATTCTCCCTCTCTGCCCTTCACTCTTACACAGTTCAACAAACAGCTTGTAATTTTACTCTTCTTGGGGAGTTGCCTATATACTGTTTATAACAATGGGAATATTTAATTTGTTGTAATCTACATATCTATTAGTGAGGTGGGTTCTCCTTATGTATATTTGTCCCCATCGTTATAATCTATATTACTTTTGGAGCCAGAATTGGTTGAGATTTCAGCTCTCCCCATTTATTAGTTACGTGACCTTAAAGTGACTTAACCGTAATTTCCCATATCGGTAAAATGAGAATAGTAATAGTTCTTACCTTATGGGGTTGTTACTCTTAGAGTACCTGGCATTTAATAAATGTTAAATAAATGTTGCTCTCATTGTTATTAATATCAATTTTGGATGCCTGAAAACTTAATAAATGCTGTTTGACAATGCAGTCAGTTTTAATGCAAATAACTGGCAAAAGCAAGCTGTCCTGATATGGGTCTTAACATATACTGCTGCTAACAATATTTCAGTAGGGAACCTGATTATTAAGTAAGTTAATGTAGCCTAATGCTTCATTTCATCAACCTGGACTAATTCAGTCTCAATGAAAATTGCATACTACTACCTGATATTAAACTGACAACTACTAGGGCCTAAGCAGATTAGTGGTGGTAAGACGAGGGATAATTATTTTGTCTTATAAAAAAGGCAGTCTCTTGGAAGGAACTCCTGTTTTGAGAAAAGAAGTCTTATGTGAGTTGAATATTGGCCTAAAACTCAGATTATAAATTTTAACAATAATTTGTTTGACCTGAAGTTTTTACTTCTATTATGGTTGCTTTCAGATGTTAATGATGAAATGAAAATACATGTAAACTACTTCACAGGAGATAGGGAGTGCTACATGCAGTAAATATTTTAAAACATTCTCAGAAGACAAAGCTCTTGTTAGTAATAAATAATAATGAAAGAAACCTCTTATTAGACACATTTTTAAAAACTTAAATTACCGTTATTTGTGTCATTTTCTTTCCTGTTAAAGTTAATGTGAATATATCACAAAATTAAGTACTAATAGTGTTTGTTGGCTTGATGAAGGAAGGTTTGATTGCCCCGAACAGGAGAGCTGAGCCTAATAATTCTGGGCAAATGAAATCAACTACACAATTACATAATTTGGCAGTTTTACTAGTTTGCTAGGGAAAGTTATAAGATTACTAGCACACAAATTTTCAAATTTGCCTTTTCTAAAATTGGTAAGCCAATTCCATGAGTGAAAATAATTGTGGTTTTTGTTGCAGTCATTAAGTTACAGCCCAGTGTTTATGTGTAATTTGGGGACTTTGAGGAGCAGTGCAGTAAAGGGCTCGTTCCTGTTTTGGGCATCATTGAGTGGGTATTCTTGCCTGCTGGTTGGTTTCAGCACTCCCTGGACTTTTTCAAGGACTGGTGCCTCTACCTCCTGCTGTCTTTGATGCCTTATATATATTCCAAGGCAGCTTAGCAGGTAAGATGCTTTTTTGGGGGGTACATACTGCAAATTCAAGTTCAAGCATCTGTACAGATTTCTTTTTTTTGTTAAAGAGGTTTTTTTTGGTTTGTTCCTTTTTATTGTTTTTTTTTTTTTTACCTTGCATGAAGCAGTACAGGGCTGAAGTAGTGTGTGTTGAAATCAAATGCAGAAGCTTAAAGGTCGTTCCTTTTCATTACCTCTGTATACTATTATATACTGTTTTAGGGTTGGCATCTAAGTCCAAATCATGGCAGAGCAAATTTTCCTTAGTCCAGGTTGGAGTTATGCTTATACATTAAAACTCTGATGATGCCTTTGGATTTTTTAT